GATCTAATGAGACGTAAGGGGAGAGAAATAATAATTGATAATGTATACGAGAGTTGTCGCGCGTGAAGTCAGAGGTCGCGAGGTCACCCAGTGTAGTGGTGGGATCCGATTCGTAAAAAATCTGTCTTGTCTTGTGTTTGAATATTACAATTGCTTACAAAGTAAACGATCAAAAGATTAAAATATACTTTTGAACACTCAAAAAAATTAAATTTAGCGAGCACCATCTCAACTCGTACAGTTACCATAACATAAACAATAGTTTCAACCCCAAGACTAGTCATAACTTATGCTTACCTTAACGGTCGTCACAATTTAAAACCTGATTTTAACCCCGAACCCCAGATAATTATACACCGTCACGTAAAAGAAAAACAAATTTTCCTACCCTAAGATGACGTCATATTGTTCTCACGCCCCTAAAAATCATATTTCTAACAACAAAACAAACATTTTAAAACCAGTATTTAAAAAAATATGCAAACTAAATGCTTCATCATAGTGCCTTATTCCCCCCTCCCCGCCCCATAAAAATAAACACACGTCTTTACAAAGTCCGACCCCCTCCCTTTCACACCAAGGGTGTGACGTTCAGAGTTTCTTCCAGGTATCTCTTCGGGGGGGGGGGGGGGGGGGCTTGCCCCCCCCCCCCCCCCCCCCCCGAAAAAATTCTACCGCCCCCCCCCGAACGAAATGAAATTTATATAATTTATATAGAAAATATATACTTTTAACAGTGTCCGCCGCCCCCCCCCCCCGAAGAAAGTCTACCGCCCGCCCCCGAAAATTTCAAGTGCCCCCCCCCCCCCCCCGGAGAAAAAAGTCTGGAAGAAACACTGGTGACGTTTTGGACAACCGATCATCAAAAAACCTTAAACCTGACCCTAACTTAGATGCCCTCACCTCGCTCAACATTACAGCAGTAGAATCTAATATCTTATACCACGTGTTGCTAACAACATTTGCGATTGAATCGAGACAAAGATTGAACTTTAAATCTCTCTAATAAAACATGTGTTACATGTGTATTTTAATGAAATATTCTACACATTATTATTAGTCTGACACTGGTTCATGTGTTTACTAATCCATCCGTAGAGCTGAAGTAATTTAACGTAAAAAAAGCTGTGAACGTTATTAAAAAAATAACACTATTCCCTAATCAAATCGATTATTTCATTGTTTGCCTTTACTTAATAACTTGCTACTAATGCTAGCAAATCTATCCTTTTGTGGGAAGAAATTCATTACCGGAATAATTGTAGTGTGCATATTCGGGTTGTATGGTCTGATTTACTCAAAATTTTGTTGGGTGAACGTTACCTTCTTACATGTTGTCTATTTAATGCTTCTCTATTTGCGAGGGCGTTATCATTTACCACATCCCACCTAGCTCGTACTCCGAGCGTCACTCCATCAATCTTACCCCCCCCCCATTCACAGCCGACCTAACTCTAATGTGTCCATCTGATATGTCCACCCAACTCTGATGTGTCCATATGATTTTTCCATCCAACCCTGATGTGTCCACCCAACTGTGTCCTCCCAACTCTAATGTGTCCACCCACCTAACTGATGTGTCCACCTAATGCGTCCACCCACCTAACTGATGTGTCCACCTAATGCGTCCACCCACCTAACTGATGTGCCCATCCACCTAACTGATGTGTCCACCCACCTAACTGATGTGTCCATCCACCTAACTGATGTGTCCACCCACCTAACTGATGTGTCCACCTAATGGGTCCACCTAATGTGTCCACCTAATGTGTCCACCCACCTAACTGATGTGTCCACCTAATGTGTCCACCTAATGTGTCCACCCACCTAACTGATGTGTCCGCCTAATGTGTCCACCCACCTAACTGATGTGTTCACCCACCTAACTGATGTGTCCACCTAATGTGTCCACCCACCTAACTGATGTGTCCACCCACCTAACTGATGTGTCCACCTAATGTATCCACCCACCTAACTGATGTGCCCATCCACCTAACTGATGTGTCCACCTAATGTGTCCACCCACCTAACTGATGTGTCCACCCACCTAACTGATGTGTCCACCTAATGTGCCCACCCACCTAACTGATGTGTCCACCCACCTAACTGATGTGTCCACCTAATGTGTCCACCCACCTAACTGATGTGTTCACCCACCTAACTGATGTGTCCACCTAATGTATCCACCCACCTAACTGATGTGTCCACCTAATGTGTCCACCCACCTAACTGATGTGTCCACCTAATGTGTCCACCCACCTAACTGATGTTTCCACCCACCTAACTGATGTGTCCACCCACCTAACTGATGTGTCCATCCACCTAACTGATGTGTCCACCTAATGTGTCCACCTAATGTGTCCACCCACCTAACTGATGTTTCCACCCACCTAACTGATGTGTCCACCCACCTAACTGATGTGTCCACCCACCTAACTGACGTGTCCACCCACCTAACTGATGTGTCCACCTAATGTGTCCACCTAATGTGTCCACCCACCTAACTGATGTTTCCACCCACCTAACTGATGTTTCCACCCACCTAACTGATGTTTCCACCCACCTAACTGATGTGTCCACCTAATGTGTCCACCTAATGTGTCCACCTAATGTGTCCACCCACCTAACTGATGTTTCCACCCACCTAACTGATGTTTCCACCCACCTAACTGATGTGTCCACCTAATGTGTCCACCTAATGTGTCCACCCACCTAACTGATGTGTCCACCTAATGTGTCCACCTAATGTGTCCACCTAATGTGTCCACCCACCTAACTGATGTTTCCACCCACCTAACTGATGTTTCCACCCACCTAACTGATGTGTCCACCCACCTAACTTACGTGTCCACCCACCTAACTGATGTGTCCACCTAATGTGTCCACCTAATGTGTCCACCTAATGTGTCCACCCACCTAACTGATGTTTCCACCCACCTAACTGATGTTTCCACCCACCTAACTGATGTGTCCACCTAATGTGTCCACCTAATGTGTCCACCCACCTAACTGATGTGTCCACCTAACTGTATCACCACCAACTCTGATGTAGCAAATAATACAATCCAAACATCGCCTCATGTCAAAAACGCCACATAAGGTCCACCAATAATAACACTAATACACCGTGTCACATGATTTAAACACGACCTTCCTCCCCCAAACCACACCATCCCCCCCATCTGTCACACTTCTGTAAACAACTGTGATCACCTTTGACGTCACCGAACACATGTTTACCCCACCATTTCATCCCGTATCCATGGCAACACGTCTCAGCGAGCAAATCATGCACGTAGTGACGTACTCTCTATCCCATCCGTCTCCTATGTTCGCCATTCTAATTAACATAAACGGACATCGTCATTTGTCACGTGGCTATTTCGGTCACGTGTTCATGTTGACAGGAATTAGACGACATGGAGAAATTCCCATCTTTATACAGTTAAAAAAATTATTTATAATGAATGTTTTTTTTTAGTGTTTTCCTTAATTTACATTAATTTACACGTTAACGGGGATTTGAAAAAAAAACTAAGGTGATAAGGAAAATGTTTATTTATCTGATATGTTACGCGCGGCGTCAAAACGGCCAATGACAAAACGGCCCCGTCAAAATGGTTCATGAAAAATGTTTTCACTCAGAGGTTATAGTGGTAGTGGAGGTATGAACTGTATGTGGTTGGTAGGTTGGACAAAATGGTTATGTTTATTCCAGTAGTTGTCCTACGATTCGTTTGTCTGGAGCCAATATGTCGGGAGTCATTTTTTTCGCGAGCCAATGTGCCGTGAGCCAATATATCGTGAGCCGGAAAAAATCGGGAGTCCATTTGTCGAAAGCCCATATGTCGGATTCAATATGTCGTGAGCCCTTATGTCGTGACCCTATTTGTCGAGAGCCTATATATCGGGAGTCCTGTTGTTGGGTCCTATATGTCGCAAGTCAATACGACGAAAGGCCATTTGACAGGAGCCAATATATCACACCCTTTTGACGGGGTCGTTTTGTCGTGGGCCGTTTTGACGGTGTACCGATGTTATGTTGTCTATGGGAGCGGATGACTGATAGGGACAATTTAAAAAGTGTTTCATTGCATTTAAATGAACACCTGTGCATTGTAAAGTATATTTTGTTTTAATAGGCACATAATAGACACGAAAATTTTTAACACACATTTAAAACAAACGCTATTTTAACACATCAGCTAAAGACACACATCAAACACTATAGTTACACACTAACAATACACATATCAAACACTACAGTTACACACTAACAATACACACATCAAACACTATAGTTACACACTAACAATACACACATAATCCGCTGTACTTTAATTGTTTGGCCTGTTTGGTAAAGATGTATCTGGCCAATAAGAAACGCACACATTGGTTATTTATTTGTTTGTTGTGATCGATAAATTACTGGTCGATGTATACCATAGTTTAATCAGCAGATGTAACAATTCGCACTGATCTAGCCGGGTCGTATAGTGGTTTTTGGTTTCAAAATATTTCCGAAATATTCTGAGAAAATATTCTATAATTTAATTGTTTGAGTATTTAAAAAAGCGAATAATAAAAAGACAAATTTATGTTTTTTTTAAAGACGTATGCTCTCATCCTATTAGTATTTTAGTTTTGTTTTCTGACTAAGTAGTTTCTTCAAGGATGGTTTAATTCGCCTTAGTTAACATTTTAAGGTCACCGAGTTAACGTTTTTATTGCCGTGGTTTAGTTGTAGACGTAGCCTTATGCGGAAATTATACAAAAATGTCGTTTTTATGCTAGTTAGGAATTTCTTGAATAAATTACACTGCACTGACTTAGTCTAGACTGTTTATGTAATTAAAATTTAAAATTAGGACAATTACAAAATATTACAAAATCTATTAGTCTGATATATTTCGTGGTATTTGTGAGATAGAAGATAAGTGGATACTATTGTAAACGGTGACTGTAAATTGAATGTAAATGGGTGTAAATTATCCCTCAAGGAGAAAGTCATGTCGCTGTACCAAGCTACGGGTTCTGCTGCTGGCCGTACCTGCCGTCTGGGTCACCCTCATCCTCTGGACCATGTACAAGACCCAGGTCATGACCCAGAGTCTACCCAGGAGGCATCACCACACCGGGCGTCCCAAGATGGGGCCGGGACAGGCGGACCCGCCCAAACAGGGGCCGGGCGGGGTCGGAGGTCAGCAGCATGTGCTGATGGCACCGGATGCTGATGTCTGGTTGAGAGCGGCACAGCCGGACGCTGGGGACGGTGCTGACGTCAGAGTTGATGACGTCAATCATGTAAGTAATGACGTAGTTCAGTGAGCGTGAATGTGGAGGGTTGGGGAAACATTGTAGACCATACCAAAGGTATCTCTACACTCAGCATTATGGTTTAGCTTCTTTGTTAAACATGTTTGTCTGTCAATATTTGTTTCTTGTGTTTGAATCAAACAAAGTATAGCTTTGATGGGGCAGATTGGGAGTCAAACTGTTATTGTAGAATATTCTCTGTCGAAGTGTAAACTATGGGACGGCGTGGCCTAAACGGTAGAGCGCTAGGCTGCTAACCCGAAAGTCTCGAGTTCAAATCCGTATCCAAGTACACCTGGCTCTGATGGGTACCTAACTCACTTTGGGGAAACTAAAGGCGACTGGGCAAAGTGCAGACCATACTTTCTCTTCATATGCCGATGTCAAGAATCATATGAACTCTATTTCATCTTTTCAGTTGATCGTTAAGTCTAAAAAGTAATCTTTTTTTTAAAGTGTTAAACTATCATTACACCATGTCTAAATATGAGATTTAACATAAGTGTAAAGTTTAAACCTTTGATGTGTTTGTCAAAGTCTGAAACAAAGTATGTTACCACAATTAGATCACACACATATGGAGACCAAGTGTAGCAGGCTGGCCCATAACAACACAGTCGTAGCTTGTAGCTACACATACAGTGCATTTGTCTACTCGCTGGCTCCACAGTGTATACAACATATACAGTACATTTGTCTACACGCAGGGTACACAGTGTACACTACACATACAGTACATTTGTCTACACGCAGGGTACACAGTGTACACTACACATACAGTACATTTGTCTACACGCAGGGTACACAGTGTACACTACACATACAGTACATTTGTCTACACGCAGGGTACACAGTGTACACTACACATACAGTACATTTGTCTACACGCAGGGTACACAGTGTACACTACACATACAGTACATTTGTCTACACGCAGGGTACACAGTGTACACTATGCATACAGTAAATTTGTCTACACGCAGGCCACACAGTGTACACTACACATACAGTACATTTGTCTACACGCAGGGTACACAGTGTACACTATGCATACAGTAAATTTGTCTACACGCAGGCCACACAGTGTACACACATACAGTACATTTGTCTACACAGTGTACACTATACATACAGTACATTTGTCTACACGCAGGGTACACAGTGTACACTACACATACAGTACATTTGTCTACACGCAGGGTACACAGTGTACACTACACATACAGTAAATTTGTCTACACGCAGGGTACACAGTGTACACTACACATACAGTACATTTGTCTACACGCCGGCTACACAGTGTACACTACACATACAGTACATTTGTCTACACGCCGGCTACACAGTGTACACTACACATACATTACATTTGTCTACACGCCACCTACACAGTGTACACTACACATACACTACATTTGTCTACAAAGTGTACACTACACATACATTACATTTGTCTACACGCCATCTACACAGTGTACACTACACATACATTACATTTGTCTACACGCCGGCTACACAGTGTACACTACACTTACACTACATTTGTCTACACGCCGGTTACACAGTGTACACTACACTTACACTACATTTGTCTACACGCCGGTTACACAGTGTACACTACACTTACACTACATTTGTCTACACGCCGGTTACACAGTGTACACTACACTTACACTACATTTGTCTACACGCCGGTTACACAGTGTACACTACACTTACACTACATTTGTCTACACGCCGGTTACACAGTGTACACTACACTTACACTACATTTGTCTACACGCCGGTTACACAGTGTACACTACACTTACACTACATTTGTCTACACGCCGGTTACACAGTGTACACTACACTTACACTACATTTGTCTACACGCCGGTTACACAGTGTACACTACACTTACACTACATTTGTCTACACGCCGGTTACACAGTGTACACTACACTTACACTACATTTGTCTACACGCCGGTTACACAGTGTACACTACACTTACACTACATTTGTCTACACGCCGGTTACACAGTGTACACTACACTTACACTACATTTGTCTACTCGCCGGTTACACAGTGTACACTACACTTACACTACATTTGTCTACTCGCCGGTTACACAGTGTACACTACACTTACACTACATTTGTCTACTCGACGGCTACACAGCGTACACTACACATACAGTACATTTGTCTACACGCAGGCTATACAGTGTACACTACATACAGTACATTTATCTACACGCCGGTTACACAGTGTAAACACATGTTACATGATGTGTTGTCTTAAAACTTGATTTTACTAGCTAGGTAACGGCTCGTTATATTGAAGTAACCGATAGTATATATTCGCAAAGTAACTGACAGTTATATAAACATAGAAACCGACAGTTATAGAAGCAAAGTAGCGGCTCTACGAAGAGTTGATAACATCAGTTACACAAAGATATTCAAGACTTCGATCTGATACGATATTCTTGGCATCAGAACAAGACGTTTGTGTTGTAAACAAACAAGACATGCAAGTTGCTAAACAAACAAGACATACAAGTTGCTAAACAAATAAATCGGACAAGTTGCTAAACAAATAAATCGTACACGTTGCTAAACAAACTAGTCATACAAGTTGCTAAAGCCTAATATATTACAGACACGGATTTAGGTTATTGAACCTCCCTACTGTTTCAACTCTCTATTTCTTCTATGTCTCTCTAATATGCGGTTGTCGGTCACTGACATTTCTCATTTGTAAAGACATTTCTCATTGTTACATGAACACACTAATTACACACTAGCCAATCACTAAGACAGACCTTTAAAACACACTAATTACACTCAAGTCAATCACTAAGACCGGCTTTTAGAACACACTATATTCACGCAAGCCAATCACTGGGACAGACCTTTAAAACACACTAATTACACGCTAGCCAATCACTAAGACAGACCTTTAAAACACACTAATTACACGCTAGCCAACCACGTGACAGGGTGCTTTATCTTCCAGGTGTTGGGAGTGGACGGTCTAGGCGCCCACGGTCAAGTGGACACAGACACTGATGAACACCATTATGACGACAAAGCCGACCAGGTAACCAGATCTGGTACCACACCATACTGCCATCTTCATTTTAAAAAACTAGCTGCAAAATAATCAGCCGTATCATTAACATTTTATTTGTTCAAATACTCAACAGCGGTTTGTTTTGTCCTAGATTTTTAAAATTAAAAATTTGTCTTTTTTAATTCTCTGTTCAACGCTTTGTCCTCTAGGACTAAGCTCTTTGTTCAATGCTTTGTCCTCTAGGACTAAGCTCTTTGTTCAACGCTTTGTCCTCTAGGACTAAGCTCTTTGTTCAACACTTTGTCCTCTAGGACTAAGCTCTTTGTTCAACACTTTGTCCTCTAGTCAACATTTTGTCCTCTAGGACTAAGCTCTTTGTTTAACACTTCGTCCTCTAGGACTAAGCTCTTTGTTCAACACTATGTCCTCTAGGACTAAGCTCTTTGTTCAACACTATGTCCCCTAGGACTAAGCTCTTTGTTCAACACTTTGTCATCTAGGACAAAGCTCTTTGTTCAACACTTTGTCCTCTAGTCAACATTTTGTCCTCTAGGACTAAGCTCTTTGTTTAACACTTCGTCCTCTAGGACTAAGCTCTTTGTTCAACACTTTGTCCTCTAGGACTAAGCTCTTTGTTCAACACTTTGTCCTCTAGTCAACACTTTGTCCTCTAGGACTAAGCTCTTTGTTCAACACTTTGTCCTCTAGGACTAAGCTCTTTGTTCAACACTTTGTCCTCTAGGACTAAGCTCTTTGTTCAACACTTTGTCCTCTAGGACTAAGCTCTTTGTTCAACACTTTGTCCTCTAGTCTACACTATGTCCTCTAGGACTAAGCTCTTTGTTCAACACTTTGTCCTCTAGGACTAAGCTCTTTGTTCAACACTTTGTCCTCTAGTCAACACTTTGTCCCCTAGTCAACACTTTGTCCTCTAGTCAACACTATGTCCTCTAGTCAACACTATGTCCTCTAGTCAACACTATGTCCTCTAGTCAACACTTTGTCCTCTAGGACAGCAACGCCAAGTTCGCCGTCCCCCGGGCCATACAAGACTTTGCTTCCAGCCAGAACAGGTCACGTGGTATGATCTTCGTGCAGCCGGAGCCAGAACCCTGGGACTCGCCGTATGTGGACCACATGGAGGTCGTTGGCATCGAGTCGTCGTCTGGTAGAAAACACATCAAGCCAGGTCAACGGTTTGACACGCCTAAACAAGGTCAAGGATACACCTAATGTTTTCTTCTACATCCATTTGCTTGTGAATTAACAGCACACACACACATACATATACACATATACACACACACCACATACATACCACATAAATACACATACATACACGTACCATACATATACTGATAGCACACACATATACATAAAAAAACACATACACACATTCACATACCACACATACCAAACACAAATATACCAAACATATAATACACACATGCATACATATATCACACACATACAACACACATACCACACACATGCATTTATATAGTACACACCACACAGGGGTCATTCATATATGACGTCCATACGGGGGGGGGTGGTTAAAAATTGACTTTTGCTGACGCGTATGGACTTTTATATGGGAAATAAGTGGATTTTTTAGAGGGGGGGGGGCAAAATCTCCAAAAATTGTTGACGTCATAAATGGATGACCCCACATACCACAACCACATATACTCATGTCACACACCTATACATATACCTTACGCTCCATCACGCTAAATCTATTTTCCCACAATCTTACGCTCCATCAAAAGTCATTAAGTCCGCCTTGTTTACTTGACTTATCACCACGACAAAACTTCACAAAAAACAATGACACACAAGGAACCGTTCCCTGCTTCCTCCCATACATCTCCCAGTATCACGTGACACCCGGTGCAACAACCTGTCCCTTGTTCCCAGGCGAGAAAGGACATCCTGTGGTCATTAATCCACAAGATCTGAGCCCGCAGGAGAAGGAGAAATATGACGAGGGCTGGAAGAACCACGAGTACAACGAATATGCCAGCCTGCAGATATCAACACAGAGAGAAGTGCCAGACTTCAGAGATAATGAGTAAGATTTTGGGTACAGATATACCGTACTTACTATATATATAAATAATAAATACTATATATGCGTATTATATATATACATATAGTCATACATATATATATGCATATATATACACATTATGTGTGTATATATATATATATATATATATATATATATATATATATACATATTTATACATATAATATGCATATATATATATATATATATATATATATATATATATATATATATATATATATATATATATAACATGCATATATATATATATATATATATATATATATATATATATATATATATATATATATAATATATATATATATATATATATATATATATATATATATATATATATATATATATATATATATATATATATGACTGTATGTATATATATATATATAATATGCATATATAGTATTTTTTATATGTATTTATATGTATGTATAACATGTAATTAGAAGTAAACGACGTCACACCCATGAGGGGGGTGGTAGTTGTGGGGCGGGGGGGGGTGAGATTGTGTGATGAGATATTTGTGATAAATATACCACTTACCTTACGTTTACTACTTACCTTTACTAATCAACACGTGGTTACAGGTGTAAGGAGAAGACGTACCTACCCAACCTACCACGTGCCAGCATCATCATCTGTTTCTACAACGAGGCTTGGACCGTGCTACTCCGTACCATTCACAGTGTTCTCAGCCGCTCTCCGCCATCTTTAATTGAGGAATTAATTCTCGTCGACGACTTTTCTACCATGGGTATACACACTTATAATAATAGCGTCAACACTCTATCATACTGTCATACTATTGTCAACACTAGCACACTATCTTACTAGTGTCAACACTATCACACTATCAAAGTAGTGTCAACACTATCAAACTATCATACTAGTATCAACTCTCTATCACACTATAATACTAGTGTCAACACTATCACACTGTTAAACTAGTGTCAAAACTCAATAACAAGACCACACTAAAAATGTTTACTATTATGAGCTCCCCTCCAAATGGTGTATCCATGTGCACCCCCTCTCCCCGCCCAAGCCTAGTGACGCCACTATATTTAAAATACAACCACGCCATTCCTAACCTTATAACACCACGTCACTGCGTTTAAACACCATGACACCATTACATCCTTAAAACCATCTTTACATGTTACACCCGGTATCACAAAACTACCATTCTCTTAACGTAAAGCTAATTTATTTTTACTTTAGTCTAGTTAGTTATATATGTATATATACTTTAAACATATATTTTAATGACACACTGCAAAGAAAAACAAACAAGCAAGTTTATATTTTACTATACAATAGTCTACTTGAGTATAATATCCAACATTTAAAATGCATTTTCTTTCAAGGGACAAAGCAAGGAACAAGCAAGTTTATATTGGACTATACCAAAGTTTACTTGAATAAATCCATTTTTTTAAATGCATGTCCTTTCCAGTGACAATGCAGGATACACTGGCCAAATACGTGTCTCAAATACAAAAAGTCAGGCTACTGCGCATGACGAAAAGGTCAGGGTTAGTGCGTGCCAGACTTGCAGGCGTGAAGGAGGCCAAAGCTCCTGTCATCATCTTCCTCGACTCACACGTCGAGTGCACAGAAGGTACTCACTTTTGGTTCTAGTTTACAAACTTTGTTCAGTTTCCTATGTTTAGACACGTACTTCTGAGAATCAGTATAATTTTCTATCTACAAAAGGTAGATTGAGTTTTAATACTAAATCAAATAAGTCTAAAATTAAACGCTTAAATGTTGTTAAACAGACTGTCCTTAAAATGACGTCACACGATTTTAGCCGATTCCCCCTACCCCCATCTCGATCGTCACACAGCAACATTACGAAAACCTTCCCCCCACCCGCTATAAAAGAACTTAACGTTCTTCTCATAGTCTTTCCCCTTTTAAACAAGCACAATTTTAACGATAATTAACATGTTTTTTTAAAACTAGATTTTACATGCTTTTAACCAAAATTAACATGCTTTAAACCAAAATTAACATGCTTTTAACCATATTTAACAGGCTTTTAACCATAATTAACATGCTTTTATCCATAATTAACATGCTTTTAGCTTCTTCTTCTGATTTCTTAATTTTAGTGTTACAAAAGATTCCCTCCAACACAATTAAGTATACGTGTCAACCTTTTATATAAGACTTGACTCCAATTTCAGCCAGCTTTTCTCTTTGGATTTGCTTCCATAGCCTTTGTCCAACTAAGAACAAACTAAAAGGCAGCAGTTGTTTGATTTTAGAGTTGCCTCTCCTAGAAGAGTTGCTGTGCCCAATTGTCGAGCCTCATATGCCCGGCGGTTCGAACTCGGATAAGCAACCATGCACTTTACCGACTCGACCGCGCCGACCGCTTTTAACAATAATTAACACAATTTTAACAATTTTCCCTTTAAAATACACATTTTAGCAACAACATATAAGTGTACTTCACACAACTCTAAACCCCTGCCTTGATATATACATGACGTCATTAGATGACCCTATGATGCTGAATAACTTTTATGACACGCATCGCTAATGACCAACACAACCCTACCCCTAGGGTGGCTGGAACCTCTCCTGGAGACCATCTCCCACCACCCCAAGATGGCCGTGACCCCGGAAATCGACGTCATCGACGACAAAACGTTCGCCATCGAGCCCTCAGTCGGGAACATCGGAATCCTGGAGTTCGCGACCTTCACCTTTGACTGGTCCTATGTCCTGCCCAGGATCAAGAAGAGCCTCAAGACGGTCATTGACCCCATACCGTAGGCTCGTCTCCTTCATTAGAGTAGTTTTTTTTGTTAATTAATGTCATTATAATTAGTTAAAACTTTATCCGTATTTCAAAACTTTCCATAACATTGACATGATTTTAAGTACTGACATCAGTTTTTAAAATTTTTTTCTCAAAGATCACCAACGATGGCAGGTGGGTTGTTCGCCATTAGAAAAGATTATTTTATTCAGCTGGGGACGTATGATGTCGGCCTTGAACTATGGGGAGGTGAAAACATTGAGCTCTCGCTAAAGGTAGTATGTCAGTATTGGTTTATTTCTATTTTAATGTCAGTATTGGTTTATTTCTAATTTAATGTCAGTATTGGTTTATTTCTATTTTAATGTCAGTAATGGTTTATTTCTATTTTAATGTCAGTAATGGTTTATTTCTCTTTTAATGTCAGTATTGGTTTATTTCTATTTTAATGTCAGTATTGGTTTATTCCTCTTTTAATGTCAGTATTGGTTTATTTCTTTTTTAATGTCAGTATTGGTTTATTTCTATTTTAATGTCAGTATTAATTTATTTCTATTTTAATGTCAATATTGGTTTATTTTTATTTTAATGTCAGTAAGGTTTATTTCTATTTTAATGTCAGTATTGGTTTATTTCTATTTTAATGTCAGTATTGGTTTATTTCTATTTTAATGTCAATATTGGTTTATTTCAATTTTAATGTCCGTATTGGTTTATTTATATTCAAATGTCCGTATTGGTTTATTTCTATTTAAATGTCAATATTGGTTTATTTCTATTTTAATGTCAGTATTGGTTTATTTCTATTTAAATGTCAGTATTGGTTTATTCCTCTTTAAATGTCAATATTGGTTTATTTCTATTTTAATGTCAGTATTGATTTATTTCTATTTTAATGTCAGTATTGATTTATTTCTCTTTTAATGTTAGTATTGGTTTTTTCCTCTTTTAATGTCAGTAATGTTTTTTTCTCTTTTAATGTCAGTATTGGTTTATTTCTCTTTTAATGTCAGTATTGGTTTATTTCTCTTCTAATGTCAGTATTGGTTTATTTCTATTTCACATTAGCTTATTATTTATATTTTATGTCAGAATACTCAACAACTAGTTATAAAAAAAAATCAAATTAAATTGATTTAATTCAAATAAATAGTGCTCAATATACATAATTATGAAATATCTGATAATTTAATTAAGACCCTAGGTCTAACCTGTCTAATCCTATCATACCAGATTACCATGCTGTCTTTACTAATCCACCAGCCGCGTAATGAGGGAAAATATTTACAACATGCTCATCCTGCATTTAGATTACTATGCTGGGTAATTGGGGGTGGGGTGTGTGCTGGGGGATTGTGGTGGGGGTGGGGGTGGGGTGAGGGAGGGGAGGTAGTACCATGAACACGTCCTATCTGAAGAACGTTTAAACCTTAACAACAAACTAAACGCTTTATGTTTATTTTTGGTGTTTTGTATGTAGTTGTAGACTTAGTTTTAATTGTGGAAAATTAAAGTAAATTTTCTTTCCGACCATTGAAGAACATTTTCTTGCCGACAATTAATAAATATTTCTTGCCTCCCAGCTATGGATGTGCGGGGGCGGCATCTTGATCAACCCGTGTTCTCGTATAGCACACGTCTTCAGGGACCACTCGCCCTACCTCAAGGGAGAGAAGAGCAACGTTTTGGTCAAAAACTCGGCCAGAGTTGCGCAGGTTTGGCTCGACGACTACCGGAAATTTTTCTTTGATGAACCTTATGATGAGGTAACATTCTAAAATGTTGGTCACTAACAATATTATAACCATAAATACACATTTTATAGTTGATTATAAACAATATTTAAAAATCGTTTTATCACAAGTAAAATTAAAACAATAAATAGTCGTATTATATAAATGCCAGTGATAAGTTGAATCTACACAGTTGAATAAAAAAAAGTTAAAAAAAAAAAAAAATAAAAAAAATAAAAAATAAAAAAAAAATAAAAAAAAATAAAAAAAAAAAAGTATAAAAGAAATAATTTTTTCTTAAGTTTAATCAACTATAGAAGGATGAATCGGATTTAAACAGTGGCAGATTAGCTTATGTTTTTTATGACATAATGGGTTTTGTGAATTATTGATGAGTGATTAAATGGGTTTTGTGAATTATTGATGAGTGATTGAATGGGTTTTGTGAATTATTGATGAGTGATTGAATGGGTTTTGTGAATTATTGATGAGTGATTAAAACACGGTCGTCTGCAGGCCAGGTATGGCAGCGTACAAGAGCGGCTGGAGCTGCGGGAACGGCTTCAGTGCCACAGCTTCGACTGGTACATTCAGAATGTTTACCCGGAGATGTACATCAAAGGAGCCGGGAAATATATAGGGAAGGTGAGCTAGGGAATATTTAGGGAAGGTGAGGTGGGGAATATTTGGGGAGGTGAGGTGGGGAATATTTGGGGAGGCGAGGTGGGGAATATTTAGGGAAGGTGAGGTGGGGAATATTTAGGGAAGGTGAGGTGGGGAATATTTGGGGAGGTGAGGTGGGGGTATTTGGGGAAGGTGAGCTGGGGAATATTTAGGGAGGTGAGGTGGGGGTATTTGGGGGAGGTGAGGTGGGGAATATTTAGGGGAGGTGAGGTGGGGAATATTTGGGGGAGGTGAGGTGGGGAATATTTGGGGGAGGTGAGGTGGGGAATATTTGGGGAGGTGAGGTGGGGGGTATTTGGGGAAGGTGAGCTGGGGAATATTTAGGGAAGGTGAGGTGGGGAATATTTGGGGAGGTGAGGTGGGGGGTATTTGGGGGAGGTGAGGTAGAGAATATTTGGGGAAGGTGAGGTGGGGAATATTTGGGGAGATGAGGTGGGGAATATTTAGGGAAGGTGAGGTTGGGATTATTTGGGGGAGGTGAGGTTGGGAATATTTGGGGGAGGTGAGGTGGGGAATATTTAGGGGAGGTGAGCTGGGGAATATTTGGGGAAGGTGAGGTGGGGAGTATTTGGGGGAGGTGAGGTGGGGAATATTTGGGGGAGGTGAGGTAGGGAATATTTGGGGGAGGTGAGGTGGGGGGTATTTGGGGGAGGTGAGGTGGGGAATATTTAGGGAAGGTGATTTTGGGATTATTTGGGGGAGGTGAGGTTGGGAATATTTGGGGGAGGTGAGGTGGGGAATATTTAGGGGAGGTGAGCTGGGGAATATTTAGGGGAGGTGAGCTGGGGAGTATTTGGGGGAGGTGAGGTGGGGAATATTTGGGGGAGGTGAGGTAGGGAATATTTGGGGGAGGTGTGGTGGAAGGTATTTGGGGGAGGTGAGGTGGGGAGTATTTGGGGGAGGTGAGGTGGGGAATATTTGGGGGAGGTGAGGTAGGGAATATTTGGGGGAGGTGAGGTGGGGAATATTTGGTGAAGGTAAGGTGAGTTGGGGAATAATTAGGGGAAGGTAAGATGAGTTGGGGTATGATTGGGGAGGGTAAGGTGAGTTGGGAATGATTGGGGAGGGTAAGGTGAGTTGGGGAATGCTTGGGGGAGGTAAGGGTTAATGGGGAGCAATCGGTTGAAGGTAAAGAGGAACTGGGGAGTAATTGGAGAATTGAGGGATGCTAGAGAATAATTTGGAGAAGAAAGAGTATTATTACTATTATTATTATCGTTAAAAAAAACGACACCAATTTGTTTTGGCAGATCACAAGCCAATCTGGCATGTGTGTTCATCGAGTCAGCACAGCTCTCGACGTCCCACTTTCTCTCATCAAATGTGCACGAGCGGCAAGTATTTATTTATTTCAGTACTTCATCCTCCTTGTGGATCTTAGGGCCTCAACCATAGCCTTCCATTTTGTTCGGCCCCCTGCCGGAAAAAAATTCAAATCTTCCCCATGAATAAAAATATGAACTAAAAAAAGAAGTAAAATAAAAAGTAAAGTAAGAAGCAAAAAAAAAAAAACTTAAATAAGAACTAAAAATAAAACTTAAATAAGAACTAAAAGAAAATTAAAAACTAAAATACAAACTAAAACAAAATCGGAGCACATTTTCCCAAACTTTCATTCAAAAGAAATTAAAATCAATTCTACACAATGTTTAACAGATGAAATGGGAGATGACTCGTATAAAAGAAATCAGGTCAAGGAACTGGTGCATGGATGTCCTCCCCGGATCTTCCAACTTGGTGATGCAGGCATGTAACTACCAGAACACAACACAAGTTTTCGACTATACGCCGGTAAGATTTGGTAGCGGATGTCCTGTTATTGATTGTATGTGTCCTTTATAAGGACGTGACTTTCTATGTCCTCTTTATAGACATTGACTTTCTGAGTCCTCTTTATGGACATTGAATTTCTATGTTCTTTAAATGTAAATTTACTTTTTGTGTCCTCTTTAAGGACATTGAATTTTCGAGTCCTCTTTAAGGACATTGACTATTCGAGTCCTCTTTAAGGACATTGACTATTCGAGTCCTCTTTAAGGACGTTGACTATTCGAGTCCTCTTTAAGGACGTTGACTATTCGAGTCCTCTTTAAGGACGTTGACTATTCGAGTCCTCTTTAAGGACGTTGACTATTCGAGTCCTCTTTATGAACACTGACTTTCTATGATCAATTTTTATTAATTATATTTCGTAGAAAGGTCAAAAATAAAAATGTAAAATAGCAATGAGTTATACAAATAATCTTTAAAAATGCACAAGTGTGACTCACGTTTTCCGTGCCACCCCCTCCCACCCGTCGCATATCGTCACCAAACTGTCCCCTCCCAATGTATGACGGTATTTTAAGACGACTCTGATCATTGGTTGCTTGTATTTAAACAACTGCTTCGTGTGATGTCAGACACATTGTTGTATGGCATACATACGTTGTCATACATTGATAAGTCATACACAAGTCATAAAGTGATAAATTATACATAAGGTTTAAAGTAATAAATCATACATAAGGTTTAAAGTAATAAATCATACAGAAATTATAATATGCTAAGTCATACAAGTTATACTGTTAAAAGTCATACACAAGTTATAAAATTATAAAGTGATAAGTTATATCTAAGTCATAAAGTTATAAGTCATATACAAATCATAAAGTGATAAGTCATGTACAAATCATAAAGTTATAAGTCATATACAAATCATAAAGTGATAAATCATCAAAAGGTTTAAAGTAATAAATTATACAGAAATTATAATATGCTAAGTCACACACGTCATAATGTTATAAGTCATACACAAGTTATAAAGTGATAAGTCATATACTAGTCATAAAGTGATGTCATATACAAGTCATAAAGTGATGTCATACACACGCCATATCATGATCAGTCATACACATGACTTCTGTTGCAGGGGAGAGCAATCTACCACCCGATGACTGACAGCTGTCTGACCAGAAGTCAGGTCAGCTCGGCTCTGACATTCCAGACGTGTGACAACAGTGAGGCTCAAATGTGGGCGTGGCCTGATAACCTAAATTACATTCCACCTCTAGACAGCTGACATCACTCTCCCAGGGGCAGGGGAGGTCAGTGGAAGGGGGTCAAGGATATTCCTGCAGCTAGAGCATTAGCTAGTTGACGAGATTGTGTGTGTGTGTGTATGTGTGTGTGTGTGTGCTTCTTTGTATGTGTTTGTATGTATGTGTGTTTGTGTGTGTGAGCTTTTTTTGTATGTGTGTTTATGTGTGAGTGTTTGTGTGTGTTTGTGTGTGTGCTTTTTGTATGTGTGTATGTATGTGTGTGTGTTTGTGCTTTTTTAAAATCGTTGTGTATGTGAGTGTTTTTTTTTGGAATCGTTGTGTTTGTGAGTGTTTGTGTGTGTGTGTGTGTTTGTGTGTGTGCTTTTTTGTATGTGTGTGTATGTGTGTGTTTGTCTGCGTTTGTCTGTGCATTAGTGTGTATGCTTAAGTGTGAGTAGATTCGCTACTATGCTCTTCATGTATGCAGGTGCCAGCTTATATTTGCATGTCTGGTGTCTTTATTGTGTCAGATAATTTATATTTAAAAATATACTATCATGCCTAAATATTTAAGAGATGATGTTGAAAAAACAAACAAAACGTATGTGATATTTAAAATACAGTTGACCATATTTAAGGTTGTGTGCTTAGATAACAGCTTAATATTTTATTTTATTTAAATGAGTGAAAAAAAAGGGGACGAAATTATTTTGTTTGACTCAGTGAACCTCATAACTTCTGAGCGGATACATGTTATTTTATTGTTATATTGATTGTTTGATTTAGCAGAAAAATTATATTTGTAATTTAAATCAGATGTCTATATAAGTTGATTGCTATAATATAAAGTGTTAAGGGATGATATCCATTTGTAGTATTTTCTTACCAACTACCTATACCCATATGCTTGATATTGCTAGAATCGACAATGAGAATACACAAAAAAACATGCTATTTGATATTCTAGTCATTACGATAACCATAAACCTAACACTTATAGCACACATTTTTGGGTAACATTTCTTTATTGTCAATACTGGCACATATAAGGGTATAGCTATTCGATTAAAAAAAACTATTTATATTTTATTCTTATATTTTTGCCTCAATTTAAACTATGCAATTAAAATTAAAAATTGAAAATACATGAACAAACTTGGATGTTCATTGTATAACAGTGTGTTTGATACATTGTATCACTGTACAGATGTAAATAAATGACATGAACATTTTTCAACACAGGTATTGCTTTCACACAACTCACCTAACAATATTTGTAAATACCTCAGGCATGTAGTATTGGTGGAGTCTTCCGCTAGTGCGTCACTGTGCTCATCATTCGACAAATGAGGACTCTTTTTTTTTTCAACAAACGAGGACTGTTGTAGATTAATATTGAAAGCTATTTCTTTCGCTCTCATATCCACGTGGTAGAACTACATTTTTATACAGGATCTTAAAAAAGGAAATGTTTTGTGGCTTTTTATTTATAGTTTTTATTTATAGAGAATCGCCATGTATAAGTACACAATTTAAGTTAATCTGGTTAATTTAGTAGGGATAGATTTATCTTGAAATCAAAAGGGGTAGGCCCAAACGATTTGCGGGAGTGACTGTTGAAATAGGAATATTATTATTATCATAATTATTTTTTGTGTGTGTGCCTCAGGCATGTAATTCACAGCGTCAGTTTGCCTTGCATTTTCGCTTTAGTATTACAGTTTTCATCATCGGCTTGTGAGGACTGATACAGATTTACAATAGTAATACTTCTTTCTTACTTGTAGCCTACTTTCATTCATTTAAGATGGTTTACTTATGCATAGATCTAATTCAAAACGTCTAATTACAATTGTGGCAAATATGCTCTAGCGAGTCATACCGCACATAAATAGATATAGCCGCAGCTACAGAATGACTTTGTTTGGTCTAGGGTTTGTCTCGTTGGACAAGAGGTCCCTTAATAATTAGTATTGTGCGTTATTAATGTTATATTATTATCATTGACTGATTACCGATATTTGGTTCAGTGAAAAGGTTTAAAATTATGATTAAGTAATTAACTCAGTTTCACAATCGTTTAACTTTTAATACATGAATTATTGGCTTAGGAGTAATGATACAACTTAGAGTAGCATGGAATGGGCGACTGGTCTTCAGGGCGGCGTGGTCACACTTGCTCACACACGGACCTCTGTATTGTCTAAGTTTTAGCCCCAAGCTGGCCGGCTGTAAAGACATTTGACAATCTTCCTAACATATGTGTGATATACACATTCATTCAGACTTGAGACATACAATTTATTATTGTAACAAAGATAATACTACATTTACGTTAGCCTGACATAGGGCCTACAATAAACATTACTAGAAAATATGCTTTTCATTCATACATTGTTTTATACTCATTCCATACTTATTAATTAATATTATAACAGTACAGCTAATAAAAGTAAGTGTTAATTACCTTCCAATGAAGCCACACAATCCTCTACACACGTTGCCGTAGCACCAAAATAAGTATAATATGTTATGTTGGCTAGTGCCTTAGCACCAAAAAACGTGTACCTCCGAAGAGGGGAGAAGGTAGAGTGACCGGACTGTAGCGTCCCTACCCTACAGGTCACATGACTCAGGCTCCACCCTCATGACCGCAGTCTGAGGTCGAGGCCCGGTCAGCCTTACAATACCGCTGGACTCAGGTCCAGGTGTGTAACGTTACCTGTGGGGTAGCAAGAAGGGGGGAGAAGTGGAGACACCATGATAGATATTTAGAATCTATCTTAACAACAATTTTATTTAAAAAAAAAACAACAACCTGAAAATGCAAATGTGTAATTAAATGATGATTCAAGTGATTTTTTTTCCACCGGCGTGGTAGGCTGAAGGGGCTTTGGGCTTTTAAGTAGAGCTGTAATCAACTTGAGATTACTTTTTTTTTTTTTTTTTTTTACATTTTTTTTTTTTTTTATTTTTTTTTATTTATTATTATTTTTTAAATACTTTTATTTGCAATTAAAACAAGTATATCAACATCACATTTTTTACATAATTTCGAACATCAAATGAAAACGAAAGGTTTTGCAAATGTACATAATGAATATTTACATGATGTCATGTATATGATTATAAAAAAATTGCAAAGGAGGACAGTAAAACGGGTGAAGGTCAAATGAAAGTGTCAGAAGTCTGGGTGGGGAGAGGAAAGGAAATTTTTCAGAGAGGGTCAATGGGACAGTGAAGCATTTTCTATGTAGGGAAACAACTTAAGTTGAAAGGGTGTTGTAGTGGTCGCATTGAGTTTTCAAAAGGTTGCAGTGTGAAAGATGAGGGGAAAGAGACAAGATTTAGAACTTTAAATAAGTTCTGGATATTGATGTTGCGGTGGGTGGTGGGGTCGTTGGAACAGTTATAGGCATTGTGGGGTTATCATGTCTGAGGGAAAAGTGGATAGAGGGGGAGAGAGGAGGGGGTAGATTTTTTTTTAAATTTTTATTTTATTAATTCAATTGTTTTAAACATTTAAATCAGTAATAATAATATATTTGATAGATTTACACAGCATCAAAGACATGAACAATGAACATCAATTGCATATATAATAATCAAAGGGAAAAAAATATAATGGCATAAGAACTAGATTAAAATATGGTGTGCAAACTAGGTTTCTCTTCACTGCTTAGTTTAGTGTGCTGCGGAGTCAAAAGTTCACACTGTAGCCACCCATGGACAGAAATAGAAACGACTGTGGAAGAAGGGTCTCTGTAATCACGTACTGATGTATCATTCCAAAACTTTCCCTGACATAAAATTGACCCTTGGCAATGAGGGCACGCTACCTTGATATGTCCGCCAGTCCGGTTGAGTGGGGGGGGGGGGGAGTGTGTGTGTATCAACTTGAGATTACGGAGAATTAAACCTGTACATACGTTTTTTAGCAGAAGGGCAACTGTCAGGTAGTAAAAAAAATAGAAAATTTAAAGTTTGAAGTAGTAAGCTTTTACAATCATCAGTAAAATAAAAAAAATTACTACCCAAAGTAAAGTTTAAATTTGTGTGTAATTCCTTATACTCTCAATGATTTATCATAGTAAGTAACATTAATAAAAATACATAAAAATGATCAACGAAGCTGGTAGCCTAGGTCTTAAATAACAGTGTAAAAAGTTTGTATGTTATCTCCCATGCTATGGACATTAAAAAAAATATTTGTAAGTTAGATAAGCGGTATTTTATATTACAATGTCAATTTTAATGGTTGTTTCCCCTAGACCAGAAAAATAACCTTTTTAAGAACGTTAGATAATTTAAGTTTTCCTATATTTTCTTTTTTGTTTGATTTTGTCCCTTTGGCTATTTTAAACTAGTTTTTGTGAAAATACTGAATTTTAATTTCATCTAATAATAATAATATGTAAAATTATTTCTATAAATTTTTAAAATAAATTATATGATTCTAATTAAAATTAGTCTTTTGAAAAAAACACTGAAGGGAAACTGATTCAACACATTTGAAATATACTATTTTAGTAAACTAAAAAGAGCGAAAATTATATTTAATAATTAAAACATGCTACTTTGCTTAATTATTTTGGTATCTTTTTTACATATCACAACATTACATAATACCTCTTATTATTAAATCATGCTAGTATTAAATTATTTTTTAAATATAATTTTTCTGATCTATTATTAACAAACTATCTTGTCAACGTGTTACCTATCTATGTAATTATTGATATGGACGTGTTTCTGATACACCCCGTCATAATGTTTAAAGCATAAAATTCATTCCTTTTTTTTTGCGTTACCTATAAAGTTAAGTAATAGCAGAAAGTCGCGTAAAAGAGAAAAATAATAATAAACTTTTCAGTTTGAACACTACTGCAGTGGCGAAGCTGGGGGAGGGCAGGTGGGGCCACCGCCCCGGGGGGTGACCCTAAGGGGGCGCCAAAGGGAGTAAAAAAATAATTAAAAAGCATGTTTTAAGTATTGAATTATACACCATCGAAGTTACGAAAAGTTATGACTAAAAAGCTTTACACTGATTTAAATGTTTTTTTGGCACCAAAATAGAAACTGCTACGGGATAGCGATACAAACTTTTCCATTTGGAGGGAGGGGGGCGGGGGAGCGCTTTTTCACAAACAGGAGTAACTATAGATATAAATCGAAGAAAGAGTTCAAAGTTGA